AACAGCTATCCTTAATCATCTAGTTTTCAATGGTTATCTAACCTAAGTTGCTTTGTAATGTAAACCACACTCAACAACCTTGAAAAAAAAACACCTGACCATGATTATCATTCAAAGTGTTTTTAGCAATAGAATATACATTTGTAATCAAATGATTACAATTAGTTCTATATGTGTATCATTAAAACATAACAAAGATAATTTTTATACAAGCTATCTTTCAACAAATAATACTTTAAACAAAGAACTAGCATGGAATATTGCTTATAATAATGGTTAGTAGTAGATTATCATTCTGTAATAAAATCTTACAAGGATTCAACTAAACAAGTTAGTTGAAATATTATTTATCTAAATAAAATCAATATATTATTATACACATTCCACATGAAAAAAAAATTATTTCCAGATCATTTCATATGGGTTATATATCATGATCAAACGAATTTGTATGTATATCCGAAATACATGTGACATTTTATTTAGCATAATAGATTTTATTTTTTTCTGGTGGGGGGTTATAGTTATAATCTCATATATTGTAAGTTCAGTAGTTTTACAATTTCCAACATTTTCAAGTGTCTTATTCCAATTGTAAAAACTTCCTCATTGTGAATATTATTTATGACCTATTAAAATACAACATGTGAACAAATTTTAAAATGCAATTCTCCCTAAAACAAAGACAAACAAGCAAACAATTTTTATTGTCATACATGATTGTTGTTGTTGTTGTTAAAATGGAGAAAAATGTTACAAGTTCAATGGTTTGCTTTATTATTATTATTATACAACAAAGAAACAATAAGTCAATCATCACATGAATTTGGTTAAACTTTTTTCTGCACATTGACAAGCCGATATTGATTGATTGATCAAACAAAGAGTATGTGTATGTCCTATATAACGGCTTTTATAAATGGTTCAATAAATCCATAAAACTAACTATTCAACAAACATGATAGGTTAGCTACAATTTGGTATGACCAAATATCCTAGATTTAGAAATATCGATCACAATTAATTGATTTATGCATAATATAAACATTGGTAGAAATACTTCATGTTTGAATAGTCTATTAATAAAGAACAGAAAGGTAGAAGCTTGACGAAACACAGATACATTAGTGTAATTAAGTTTACTAGTTGTTTACAAGTTGTATATGAAAATTCCTAGTGATGGTAATTTCCAAATTAATAAATTGAAATTTTCTGTATGGTATCAGTGATAGCAGCAAAAAAATAATATTAGAAATTAAGAAGTAATTATATATTATTTTAGGTCAACTCTTCAAATTTCCATTTTCACCAACTTTTCTCTCTATTCGGCTTCTCAGAGATGTGGTTTTTGACATTCGCAATCGCAAGCTTGACAAAATGTCACAAAAGTACATTAAGTCCCTACACTGTTATAGGATCCTTGATAATTTTGAAACAACAAAGGAAAAGCTATTACATGGTGTTAGTGGGACACGTGGATGGAATAAAGCATGACTGCGTTAGCTGCGCGCTGATTGGCTAGTTCCTATTCAGTCAGCACCTGATCGATACTTGGAGAGCATTCTAGAAAATTCTCGTGTTGTTAGCTGCACGCTGATTGGCCATATCTAATCGATCAGCGCTATTAGATCACGTGAATTAGATTCCAGAAACTTCTCATTTAGAGCTATAAAGATACTAACGTTGTTTCTATTTCGCCTTCGCTTCGACTTCTTACTTCAAATTAACCTTGCTTTTTTGATTATAATCTTTGCTTGTTCAACTCTGTTCTGATTTGGGGACTTGTTGTCAGAGAATACTAAGCAACGGGAATAGCTGGGTTTTACTAAGAGAGATTTATAACACATGAATTGCTTGTGAATTAAATAGATGAATAAGAATTTTGTTTGAAAAACTCCGTAGCTCTACGAGATATCACTCCTGTCGATTCTTACTAAAGTGTAGTGGAATGTGAAGAGTGATAGTATTATTTCAGTACATGATTTTATTGTCATGTCAGCAATCTTAGTAAGCTTAACCGTTAATAATATTTCGAGCATTATAACTAACTATCTGTCAGCATAATAATTTCATAATACAAATTCAAACGTCTCCAAAGTTAGCTAACCTTTAAAAATGAGTGACATTATAGAAACTGTTCACACATAAAAATGTAATTCACGATTTTGCAAATAAATTTTTCTATATGAAAAATGCCTCATTAATAAAGTGCATAATGATTAAAAAATTTATTTCCCCAACTAACGATATGAATGAATATCCACTTCTGTTATTTTTTTTAACTAAATTCATTTTCCTAATTAGAAGTTATATAATCAAATATTTTATTCTATTTTATTTTATTTTATACATAAAGTGATTTTTTTTTCTTCATGAAAATTTTTGATCATTAACCTGGAAAGAATTTCAATTCACACATATATGTGTATATAAATGTATTCTAAGATAGAAATAATTCATTTAGGATAATTGAAAATAAAAGGTGTCTGGTACTACACTGTTTCTCTTTCGTGATGAAAGATAATTACGACGAATTAAATCGATTCAATTTTAACTATAGTTTGTTTTAATCTTATTGAGAATGTTTTTTTCTTCCTCATACATATTGCATAGTTGATAGTTATACGTAAATTATATTATCATTACAAAAAAAAAGGAAAACTAGACCATGGACGTTATTTGACTACTAAATGTAACAAACAGTATTTTGTTTTACTGCCCCTATAAATTGTCTGGTTATTAAACTAAATTATTTTTAAGAAGAAAGAATTTGGTGAAGTGTGTGTTTGAATTATTAGTCGATTGTTGAATCAATATAACTGAATGTTATTTCTGTTGTATGCGAAATGATCCATTTCATATAGTTGAGTGTTAAGTGAGAAGCCTAAACATTTCGTTATCAATGAATTACTTATATCAGTGAGTATTTAACAAAAACATGCTACATTATTCGTATAGTAAAAATATAATCAATGTCCATTAGGAACTCATGAGTTCATCACCATTGAGAATAACGCTGAATTTGTAAAAAAAACACCGAAGCTACTGCACTAGACTGTTCAGATGTATACATAGTTCGGTAATCGATTTATATTCATTAAACTACTAAGAATAAGCATCTAATTATAATTATGGATAGTTAATTCCTGTAGACCAAAGGTCCTAGGTTCGATTCTCGCTAGCGGGAGTCATGGATACGCACTGCTGATGAGTCCCATACCAAGACGAAACGGCTGTCTTTCAGTGCTTCCAGGTTACTAATGGTGGTCTAACATTAATCGATTCGTGATTTCAATGAAAGTCAACAGTCTCCATAACCGTATAATGAAAATTCATGAATTGTATAATTTTTACAACTTAAAAAAAGAATATATATCTATGTATATTGGACATGTTTAAAACCATTAATTATGATTTCTTCAAAACCACGAATCTATTGAATTGTCATTCTCTTATAGTATCTAATATATTTAGTTTCAAATACCATTTAATATGATTGGAATTCATATTTTCAAAAAAGTCTATAGTTTATATTTAGAGAGAACAATGAAACAGACACAACGCCATATTAGAAAATTTTCACAGTATTTTTTATCATTGCAAACAATTGAATTGTTATAATCTTCAAGGAATTGGTTACATCAAATAGACTTTGTTTATTTTAAATAAAACGATTGAATTTTAGGAAGAATATCTTTAAATAAAGTTGTAATTTTTCCAATCAATGTGATAATTGTTTGTAATGTCTCACAAGAGTTAATGGGCAACTGTATTGACTATTTAAGTGATACATATTAGATTATGATTTGTGACAGAAATATAGTTGACAAAGACCTCCTTCACTCAGTATTGAATAGTTAGTAGTATCTAAACTAACAATGAAATATATTTTTTAGCGAACTTTTCTGACAGTATTATGCAAGCGTGTGTACTTGAAAAGCTACTGTTCTATCAGTATTGCTAACATTTTCGTTACTGTTCACAGTTTAGCAATGAAAAACAGTAAATTTAACTGATCAAGCAGACTGCTTTTTACTATTTTTGTTGTTCACTTGAAAATGTAAAATGTAATCACTAAAAAATAAAACCAAGACGTATGTAATGGCTTGTCAAATATTTTTTGATGTTAAGATTTTCAATTTTGTGCATGTTAACTATCAAAGAATTTTCAGTTTTTTAAAAAAATATTAAAACACAGTTATATGAAAAAAGAATATTTTTCTCACTTAGTTGTTATCAGTTTCTACATTAACATATTCAAATGGAGTTTAAAGCAACTATATCTGACATTACAGTGTATACACTAATCGTTCTGCTGGGTATAGTTCTAGAAACTTAGCTACTCTAAAGTTGTACTCAATAGTCCAACATTGTCATATAAGGAATAACAAATATATTATGTTGTAGGTCATATATCTATTTTGGTTTATGTTTTGTTGCGATTACTCGACCAATATCCATTGGTAATGAAAGCTGTCATTAAACTAGTAACCGTATTCAGTCAGTCAGTTACAACGTAGAACTTTGTACATGAGTACATAAGTTCAGGTTGTCATACCGCTTCAGCACAGAGAAGCAACTGTCAGTTCAAATTCAATGGTGGTAGCGATAGTACAAGTATTAGTAGTGATGGCGAAGATTAGGGTTTGAAGATATGATTCGAGAAGTGTAATTCAGTGAGATAACTTTAGAAAGAAAAAGATAGAGATTATGAAGAATTCAGAAGGTTAGAATTAGAGGGAACACAATGAATGAATGCACCTGCGCCATTACAAACGGTTTTGAGCCATGTCATTCAAGGTGACTTTCGTCTCGCGGACCTCAACCAGATAGCCTACATCTACCAACAGTGCACACTCTACATTTTATATAGAAATGTGCACTAATTGTTTTTCTACTGCATATTCAAAGTATTTCAAGAGTTATTGGAACTAATTTCTTTCACGAGATTTATTTATCATTTACTTTTTATCTCTAATGCTTTTCTTACATTCATGTAGTGTGCCTGCGTTGAAAGATTTATCCTCAGAAAAAATGAAAAAATTAGCTGATGTCTTAGAACCAGTAAGTTTAAATGATAATGTTAGTGACAATAATAATCATAGTTTTTATTAAATAAGTCACGAGTTATAATTACCAATATTACCTTACATTATATTTTATTTTACGTTAATTAAATTCCATTTAAATTTAAATGTGTAATTAAATAAAACTGTTGTTTCAATACACCATTAATGGCATAATGAAGTTGATTACTTAGTCAATTAGTTCTCTGTTGTACATTTTCTAAATATCACTTAAGTTGTGTAATATAACATCACAGAGCATTATACTTGGTGTTAGGTTGTTTTGAAGCTATCAGATAAAGGCTTTGTTTTATTATAATGTTGATTTCATAATTATCCTGCATTCCGTGCCAGAGGAGAGAATGTTCATGGAAACCGATTAATATAGTCAAGTGATTATATTGTGAATTGAAAGGATGAGATTTGTTTGTTGTTCAAAACCGTAATTATATGTAAACCGTTAGATACTGACTCAATGGTTTAAAGGTTAAGTATTCCTCACGAAACTTGAAGGTCCTAGGTTGAATGCATAGTTATGAGAAATCGATAATTGATTGTAGTGAAATTATGTAATTTTAGTGTTACGCATTCACGTAGACATGTCATTTTGATATGCTTGAACTATTACGAGTTTACCTAGTCGGAAAACGAGAGCGAGGATTCGGCGACACGACATGCTACTCTAATCCGAGTGTCCCAACCCTCATCGAGTAAAAGAAGAAGACTTGATATGAGGTCGAACGTGTATTCTACAAACATTCAGAAAATACGAGGTCCGAGTCCAGAAGAGAATCAGGATCCTGGACTAGGGATCCTTGCCCGGGTCATAAAATGTTACAGTTAATGCGTATTTATACAGTTAGGTCGTATTGGGAACAACATCTGAAGGGACATTGATAGTCAGGACGACCAATAAGAAACAACACTGAAGTACGTCACATTGGTAGTTAGGACGACCTTAATATTGACCATTAGGACTTAACCAATAGGAATTGACCAATAATTCTCTTAGGATATTGGATGAATATCCTAACACTTAGCACTCAAAGAATATTCACGAATTTACGTAATGTTGTTACAACAAGAAAATCTAATAAGTTTGATACAAACTTTCCATAAATCACCTAAACTCCAACTCTAAAGATAAAATAACTATGGAAAGTGTTAATTTCAGCACTAGATATGGAAATCTAGGTCATTTATCAATTAATGCATAGTCTTGATCCATTTGGAATTTTTCGAAAACTATTCCATTAATTAACAATCCGAAAATCCCCATAATCCCCTAAAAGTATGGATGTGGTAACTTACAGGAAAAACTAAGGAATTATTTTTCTCAAGGTAAATTTTTTCAAAAAAAAAAACTATTTTCTATGCATTATGCTGCCTACCATAAAACAGTTGTTCACGTTGTATAGTAATAAATATTTAAATTATGTTACTACTTTTAAAAAAAAATCAAGTGATACATATATGCATATATTACAAAAAAATAAAATAAAATAAAACATTCTCTTACATGCATTTCATATTTTCCCCTTTTTGTTGACCTAATGTCACATTTTTCTTTCATATTAATTTCGAGTGTTGTTTTCTTTTCTCTCTCTCTCTAAATAAAGGTATTTTATGAAGCTGGTGAATATATAATTCGTGAAGGAGAACTTGGTGAAACATTTTTCATTATTAAATCTGGTAAAGTAAGTCAGAGTCATATTACAAAGAATTTCATGCATAACAATGTATAACAATGCTGTATACATCAACTGTTTATTTTAAAAAGGAAAAGAATCCATTTTCAGGTGAACAAAATTGAACAAAAAAAGAACTAAACTTAAATGTTAATAATAATAATAATCATATTAATAAATTTCTAATTTACTTGTGATATTCAAATGGGTCACAGTACAGAGAGAGAGAGAAAAAACAAACAAACTGAATTTCTAAATTTTCATGACTACTTAGTTTAAGTTGATTAATAATCCAATGAGTAAATAGATTTTTCTTTTAAGCTACTAACTTCAGCTTCATTAATTCATTGGGACAAATCAGAACAACAATAATAATTAGTAGATAAAAGTACATTTTGATCAGGTAATTTATTGTCAACGAAGTAAGTAAGTCTATTTAGAAATATCTAAATTCATATGTAGGTCAGTATGATTAAATTTACTAAAACGTAAGTTAATGTGGACGTGTTTTTTTCTAATGTTGCTGCTTGTGAATAGGTGTTGGATGTTGTGAAAGTGAAATTTATTCAAGTTGTTCAATTAGTTAAGCCTTTTTTTTTATCTTAAGAGCAATAAGATTTTGCTTCTTTTCTGCCTTTATAATTGCGTAAGTTCGTTTTTGAATAAGTTCGACATATCTGATAGCTTTGTGATGGTTGTTAACTATGGTATACAGTGATATTGTTGGCTTGACTTGTAAATTTTCTATTTCTACAGGATTAATAATTAGTCTAATCCAGTTTACGTAATATTACTTTACTTTAAGTAGAAAAAAAGTTAAGATCAATGTAAATACAACACTTCTCGTTCTTACCGTCTCACAGAGACTCTGGACGTTATTTCTTTGAAACAAATTTAAACATAATTTTAACCCATAGTTCAATAAACGTCTAGAAAGAATTAAAAAGGAAAAAACTAGTGTTTCACTGTCAACAACAACGACAACAACAAGGAAAAGTGTTTAAATCTAAACGAAATAACTAGTTCTATTTTGAAAAAATTTTTTTTACTAAGACGAAGAATCCAACTAGAACAGTTGTTATTTCAGGTGAGGTTTCTCAGAAAACTTTTTATCCGCTAACCTGACAATTAAATGATTTCTTGTAGGATTAGGGTTAGTTTTTTTTATATCAATGGACATTAACTGAAGAACCATTACTAAATAGAACATTATGTTGACAACTTTTTGTTCCAGTTTAAAACTCCTCAATGATAGGTGTTTAAAACATTGTCAGGGATAAACAGAGCCACTAACATTAAGATCTGTTAATCGACATGTTACGTTTAGACAATCAAATTGTGACCCAATGTTTAATAATTCTTCTAGTTAATTTGTGACATCGTGTTGCTGACTTATTAAAGTGATCCTTAAAACAGACTACTTAATTAAATGATAATCATGTGTTCGCCGGTGAATAATTTGAAAGTCTTGATCCATGTACGATTTATTGGCCCGAAATCTGACTCCAGTTCGCGCAAACGATTGAATAGGTTATTAAATAAATCTTTCATCTAATTTCCGTATACTATTCTTAAATAAACCCTATTTGTGGGACGGCGGTAATCAGAGAGAGACCAAATACGAATTCAGTTGAATGATTGTATTTCATGCAATCGTTCATGCAGACAGACATGAGAGAATGAGAAGTGGGAAAGCGAAGTGAATCAATTTTGAAATGATTCCTAACTAGAATGTTAGTATGTGATTAAGGTTCCATTAGCGAATTGCAAGTTCTAATCTCAAATGATTAGAATGATTAGAATTCAGTGAATATTTGTTTAACAATAGAATTACAATAGATTAGATAATAAAACACTGTAAATGATGAGGCTTAAAAGATAACAGGTTTTGAAGTTTTTTTTCACCTGTCTGATCATTATCCTTGACTACATATTCCTCAGTACAACTATTTTTGCATAGAATATGTCTTAAAATTTATGTTTGTTTTTGTTTTACTCAAAGAATATTCAGACGGTTAATGCTTATCATTTACAGAAAAGATACAAATTTCTCATGTTATTCATCTGTTTCTATTAAAAACTATGGTTTTTGCGCAATAAATGGTGGAATCAAGGCAAAAAAAAGAACTTTAGACTCATCGTGATGTAACATTTTCTCATCCATTTATTTTTTTGTGAATAAAAATACAACACTAACAGCATGAGCTTATCATCATATATAGTATGTATGTATATACCTAGTTAAGTACCTTTTTTTCCATTTTTCAAAGATATAAATATATATGTATGTTTCATTGCATTATAAGGAGAAAGTTAAAATTTAGCTGAGGAAAAAAATCTATATAGTAGCTAGTGGAAAATGTATCTAATCATAGTATAATTGCAATTACCTGTGTTCACGAGTGACTAGCTCCGTGAGGAATCTTCTCCGAGTTCTAGTGGGAAGTCGTGACCAGTGAAGCTCAACCTGGTCGGGTGTAGACAGTGTATGCGGTTGCGCAACTCAGTGAATTGATCGAAGTTAGACATAAACACCGTTAGACAGCGGCTCAGTGATCCAGAGGTTAGGTGTTCGCGCACGAGACCGAAGGTTCTTGGTTCGAACCCTGAGAGGTGCAGGAGTCATGGATGCGCACTGCTAATGAGTCCCATACCAGGATGAAACGGACGTTTTTTAGTGCTTCCAGGTTTCTAATGATGGTCTAACGTTGATCGATTCATGATTCCAAACATAGTATGGTTGTATTATCATTATTATTTTTGTTATTCAGACAATACAAACCTCCAGCATATTCCTTAAACCATGATACCATATGAAGAAAGTATCGCTTTAAAAAAAACTGTTAGCGAATTCATAGCAAAAAACTAAATGTAACTTATTCTCACTTGATCATAGATATGAAATCTTAGTCAAGAATAAATAAACATGACTGTATATTTGTACAGAGTTTCTCAGTTTACTGGTTAAAATGATTGACTTTGAAAATGTTGAATTCCTTTGTCAAATCTCTGTTTACTTAAACATTTAAATAACAGTAGTAACTATCCAAACATATGAAGTACACGGTCCATTAACAAGTTTATCAACTTACTGTTTTATAAAAACAAGATTACAGTGATACTCAACTATAGACTCGTAATTGCAACTAATGTGAATTAGAGAGTAAGTAATTCAGCATCAGTCAATGTTGATTAATTGATATTAATTGGTACAATGTACGATCATCATCATCATCATTATCCACATGAGCTACAAATTTTCTCCACCATCTCAATATCAGATGAACGTATAGGATGACATTTTTTTAATTTCCTATTCAGATTGAATAATCGAATTTTTACGCTCATTGAATCATAATACTGTTGTTAATAAATAAATAAATTTACAAAATGAAATGAAATGATGCGTATATTTTTTTTATTAATAAAAAAAACAACTGAAATCAAGTTTAAAAAATTTTCTTATTGAAATAAAATGATCATTCATAGAAAGTAAATGCAAATTTCTTTTTTTTAATTATTCAAACATGTAATGAAATCATGTTACAGTTACATTAAACTGTAGAAATATTCTCGTTAATTTAAATTACAGCTAAAGTATCAACACTGAATCTGCTTCTGTTTTTACACACACACACACACACACACGCACAATATAATTTTGGATTTTTTTTTAGCTTATGCAATTAAAATATTTTCAAACACAATTTTCACCGTTAATTTTTTTTCTTTATATTTACAATATATAAAAGCTTAAGAAGAAAGTTTCATAGTTTCATAGACTACTAAACTAACATCTTTTTAGAATTTCCTCACTAACTAAAGAAATAATTTCTCTTTAGTACAAGTTCTTACAAAGGATGATGTTTTTCTTACATTATACAGTGTAATTATTAATTAATTTGAAAATTAAAAATAGAAAATCTATTGATCGATAATTTAACTAACTTAAACTAGACAATTTTTGATTTTGACCAATTTGGTCTCGTGTGCTGTTACGGGTATGAGGGAGGTTGTCATTTCCCGGCTGCCTACACAGTGGAAGGTTGTTTCTTGAGGGACTTGAAAAGGAAGATAGATTAGTATTGGTCTTAGAGACCTGGGTGCGTGACCGCGGAGCCCAGAGGACAACTGCTTGAGACCGGTCACGCACGGCCTTTTTATGAAGGGTCTTTTGAGTATTAGCTCCGCTCTTGAAAGCCCTTAGTGGGCACCCTTACCACCGGAGACGGAAATCTGTGAGGTAGGGTGAGGTGTGACATTTTTAGGGCCGACCTTTTCTAACCCTTCCTTCCTTGTGAGAAGGCAGCATCGCTGCAGATGCTGGTTGTCCGAGGGAAACACCTTACTGCTGTCACACCCCTCTGCAGTCAGTAGTACAACTTCCCCCTCAGACCTTGAGTAGATGATTTTAGTCTCACTGTTCTCCGATCGACCTGTCTGGCATGATAGAACCTTCATGAACATATGTTCCAGCCAGTATAGCTCGTTTGGGTCATCACGATAGGGAAGCCCGACCACCACGTCAAGGTAGCAGCCACGGTCGGGAAACTGGAAATATTTTGATGAAAATGATAAATAAATCTTTAAAAAAGAAACTGTGCCCAAAAATGTTTCGGTTTGTGAAGTTCGTCTTAATTACTTTAATTAAACATATACATATAACATTCATGTTTTTCTTATCTGTCAAATTTACGGGTATGAATTATACCCTAATCTTTTCTATTACTGCTAATACTTCTACTATCGCTACCACTATTGGATTTGAACTGACAGTTACATCTCTGTGCTAATGTGGTATGTCAACCTGAACTGATGTATTTATGTACGAAGTTCTGCTTTGTATCTGTCTGTCTGTTAAATTTTCATAGAAAACTTCTAAAAATATTTCTGTTCATTCTTCATCATTTCACGAAATACACGCCAGTTACATAGAGTGAACATTCTTTTCATTATTTAAAAAAAAATCAATTAGGTACGTGTTACGCATACAATTGATGGAACTGATGAAACAAAAGAAATTCGTCAACTTTCCGATGGAGATTGGTTCGGAGAAAGAGCATTATACACGTGAGTTTAATTATTTTTGTTTGATGAAATTCAATAATAAAAGCACACTTAAGTCAACTTTGGCTCGTTCTGCTGTCAAATAAAGCAAATTTATAGTAAAAACACTCAACCTAAGTTAATAAAATGTACAAGTAATAAATAGCATTTAGGTAAAACAAGTTAGGTGTAAATAAACATGGTATGCTCTTCAGTTGATATGATTGAAACTAATAAATACTTAACCTTACTCGGTAAAACGGAGCGCAGATAAATGATTCAGTGACGTGATAGGTTATTGTAATCCGATTGCCTTAGGCCACGCTTAAAAAAAGCAAGAAGTCTTGATAAGGCGTAGAGAATGTATTCTACAGGCACCCAGAAAGATTGGGGTTTCTAAGCACATAAATCAGGCTTATTTATACAATGATAGTAGCGCCCTTGAGAGAGTCACAAAATAGCGTACAAAAATAAACCATCAGCCGATAACAGTCAAAGATTTTCCGAGTGAGAAATGTAAGCTGAGGGTCAACTAAGCGTCTCTTGGCGCGAAAACATAAAAATTCTAAATTTCAGAAATAAGTTACAAAATTAGGACCGTTTTCCAAGTGAGTTCTGGGGATCTAACGTTCCCAACAAAACAATACAATACACATAAGATCTCATGACAAATTCATTATATACAGAACATAATCTGATGAAGTCATTTGTAATGTAATTAACCAATAGGAATTGACCAATAATTCTCTTAGGATATTGGATGAATATCCTAACAAATTGACCATTGAATCCCTGTGCTAATGTGGTATGGCAATATGAACTGATGTACTTATGTACGAAGTTCTACGTTGTAACTGACTGACTGAGATTCGAAAATACGAATACTTTGTATAGATTATGGATGCAGTTTTTCATTTCCATCATTTCATTATCAGATTCACAGTATTGTTTTTTTCTTTTTGAAGTGTACTTTTCGGTGAAAAGATACATCTTATTTATTTTGATACTTGCTTGTTAAAACTGACTAAAGTGTTTGACTCGGAAAAAAATAATTGTTGATTGTTATTTTTATAACTCACTAATTAGCTGTTACGCATCTAGTTCTTATTGAAAAATTCGATCAACACTTCATAAAGTTAATAAACTTATCAAACGGTCTGAAACATATGAAGCTCTCCATGTACTTTTATATAAAATATATAGCATGTCTATAAGATACCTTAAACAGGTGTTATGTAATAGATCAGGCAATAAATTATTAGAAATCTACAACTTAATTCACATTTTTTGGTTAATCATTACCTTATTATTCCATTCATCAAAAGAGAATATGTTAGCGGGACATAGATTGGATTAAAGCATGATTGCATTGTTGCACGCTGACTGGCTCTTTCGTATCCAATCAGCGTTAACCAATACTGAGAGAACATTCTAGAATCTTCTCATGCTAAAACTATAAGTATACTAATGTTGTGGACGTCTCTAACTTCCTTCCAACCTTGTTATTGGAATATAACCTATTTCCTGTTTAACCGCGTCTGATTTTGGGAGAACGTCTCGAGTGAGCTGGTGTCCGAGAATACTAAACATTAGGAATAGCTGGGTTGTAATAAGAGAGAATTATAACAGAATAACACTACTAATATTTATATTGCAAACAAATAATTCATGATTTTCATTCCTTGATTAAGGAGCAAACGTCTACGCTGAAACATATAGAGATGGCTGAATAGTTGAAAGAATTGTTTTTCAACCAGTTTTAAGCTCCACATTCTTATCGGTTTAGGTAGCTTAGTAGCATCATAAACTCTGAAGTACGAAGTATGACTTAAAGCTGGGTACATTAACTTGTATTCAATAAATGAGAAAATTAAGAAGAATCTAAATAAAGCATCTATAGTGATCAAACAGTAGAGAATATATATATATATATATATATCAGCCCAGTCATAGCCATTAAAGTATCTTTCTCTTTTTGAAACTATACTCAACTTGACAACTGATCTTTAATACATGGTTCATTTTGATATTGACAAAATGAATAAACTTTATTTTCGTAAGTCACAAACTTATCTAACCAACAGTCGATAACAGTATTGATTTTATATATAACTATTAACAATGAATGTATTTTTATATTTTTAGATGTGAAAAACGAAGCGCCAATGTGATATCTGCTGAAGATGGTGTACATCTACTCTCATTGGATAGGAGGTAAACAAAAGTATATAAAAACTCTTTATTTCTTCAATAAGTAAAATTGTGTGGGTCATCTTGACAGATATCATTTAATTACTCTTTGAAATCATGAATCGATCAATGTTAGACCATCATTAGAAGCCTGGACGGCCGTTTCGTCCTGGTATGGGACTCATCAGCAGTGCGCATCCACGACTCCTGCAGCTCGCAGGATTCGAACCCGGGACCTTCGGTATTGTGCGCGAACGCCTAACCTCTGGTCCTCTAGGTCATGAAGTTTAACATCTTATCGATTGTATTAGAAAATCCTACTAATAACCATCCTAAACTTAAACTAACATCTCAGATCTTTAGAAATACTGGATGATCAAATTATCAATGAACAGTAGTTGTTTTTTACTAAAAAATTCATGATTATTCAATTATTATTTTCAAACTATGTTAATCCTATTGGTTTTTTAAATCCTACTCGTGTTCACTGTGTGATTTGTCTGAATTTCAAATCAGCATGCTAATCTGAAAGACATGCAAATAAAGAGAAGTACTATAATACATACATGGATCAAAATTATGTAGAAAATTAAGTCTTTAATTAGATAGCATATATGCTTGTTAGTTTTAAGTTTTAAATGTTAATAAATCTGCGAATTATTTAGTTACATATTACTTAAAGCTAATATTTTCAGACTTATTATTAACTAGTATACTTTTTTCATGTAACGTTCTAAAGAAGTTTTTTAAATCTAGATTAGTCCACTAGGGAGCAAGTAGACGGATATTCATAGTGAGAAAAGTTTTCTATGTTGTTATCTTCTTTTACTAACCGACTATTTTTTTAAGTACTTGGACGTACAATATTTACAAGTGTACAGGTTGATTGTAATAAAGCTAAGGGTGGTCAGGCTAAAAATGCGGCTTTAGTTCGTGAATTCAATCAATATTGATCTGAACCATCTAAGCAGGTTCAGATTATCAGATCAAGATCTCTACGACTATTGTTATAAATGACTATGGGTGACATAGTTCTCATATTGATACAGGTATATCCACTCTTTAATTTCCTTCAGATCCTGAGCTTTCCTAATTATTCTAATTTTTTACAACTAATATACTGTTGTATCAGGTTCTGCTTGATGTTTGATCGACAGACTAAATAAAAAAGTATCTGTAAGAATTACACTTAGTGCTTATTTCGAACCAAATTAATCACCTATCAAGTAAACACAACCAGTAATAAAATAAGTGTTCTTCGCCATTCAAATTCTAACAATGATCTAATCTACTACCCCTAACTCAGGTTTCATATAGTCGAAAAATGAAATTTTCGGAAATGCGGTAAAATCATTACCGGACATGAGACAAAGAGTATCATGAGTGTCTGGGCCTATGCGCATCAAGCTGGGCTGTATCTTCTGCTATCCTATGCCATATATGTGTACACCATATGCTATGCTGCTATGCTGCTATATAGAGCTGAATGTTTCCTATGAGACCAGAGGTTCGCTGTGAACATTGTGGATGGCTTGGCATTGCTTTAGCAAACATCGCTAACAGTCCATTTAAAAAGTTGGTTAGCAGGGCGACCGATTTCATTGATATTGGTAGTTGTTTTGCAACATTCCCGAGGGCCATTGTCATTGGGGTGCTGTACTGCATATCACCAGTGCTAATAATAATGAGTTTGACAGTCATGTAAGCCGGATGAGTCGAAATGGCCTGTTCATGCTGGTGCATATTGATTGACGCGATCATAGATCGGAAATAATCACTATATATATATATAATAGTGTACATAAATGGTGTGAATGGTCCACTAGGGTATCAGGAACCTGTGTGATTGCACCACGGGATTGAACCGAACTGTTCATGTCGAAATGCTAACACTTTGTCAGTCTCCTTGGTTCTCCCCTGAAAACCAATGTAAAATTGCCCTTGACAATAGACGGGTTAATTTATTTATAAAATAAATAAAATAATTTATATAAGAGTATAATCTATGTTTCCATTACTCTCAATGACATATTGATTTTAAAGTGCAAATAATTCTGAATGGCAACAATGATAAGTAATTTCTTTTCGTTCATTATTTATTTTTTCTTTTGTCAACTTATAGCAATTTTATTTATCTAATTGGTGATTTGAATGAATTTAAATCCAAAACCTACGATGATGTCAATCGTCCATTAATTGGGTAAATTTAAAAAACCAATTTGTGTACTGTAACATGTTATTTTAGTGTATAGAAAAAGTTAAATGCATTTAATGTGACAGTTGATGTGATTGCTAATTAATTGATTATTTTCAATAATAACGAATGTCTGATTGTCATTTTATGTCTCTTAATTCTTGGTATGTGTGTGTTGGTCTAAATTTATCGATCCAGTTGTGTAAAATATGATAATCCATCTAAGTGATTTAACATTACGATGTATTTTGAATAATGTTAATGTCTGTCAAACGAGAACTCCTATGATAAAACGATTCATCAGTTTTAGAAATTTGAGTTTATGTACATTCAACTGTATCCAATAAATGCAACTGTAGTGAGTAGTGTAGGATCAACTGTTCAAGTTAACATATTTATATTTGTTATAAAATCTAATATGAAAATAATGATATGAGGCAACTGTCTCCTGAAGACAACGGAAGTTGGTTACGCAACATTATGGACTGATCGAAAGTAGAAATTAGAACAACACATATAAGCGAACAATATTGTTTTCAATTAGATCTTCATCAGGCTTTACTTTAATACACATGAAAATGTTAAACCGGTCAAGGCAATCAAATAGTTTACGTAACTACATGTAATAGGTAAAAGTACAAGTTGGTAGTAGGAAGACAGGTGTACTGATAGTGGCAAGGATAATAAAACACGATAACAAAAGTTCTTGTCAGTAGTTCAACATTGGAATAAGTAGGTCAAACGTGGATAAATAGACTTAAAATAATCGTCACAAAACATTATAACAATTGCCTAATAAGAAGTGTGCAGATAATTAGGGAAGATTAGGGAAGAATATAAATGGAAAGAGGTGGGAAATTACAAACAAATACAGGATGTGAAAATAATGATAATAATAACAAAAAATTAAAAATAATTAAAATCGTCTATCAAGTTATATCCGGCCAAGGAAGTGAGTGACAGGGATGTCACAAGCTTCTTCTGAACACATGTTGAATGTTTGGATCTATGGCTTCTGCTTTTTGAAGGGGACGGGATTGAACTCCGTTTGGAAATCATATAAGTATACGATAGATCACTCGAAATGATTCAGATTTTCTATATTATGTCCGTTATCAATCAGATGTGCTAAGATAAAGCTGCTTATTGTTCTTATCTGGTACTTATTAAACCATACTGGATGTTCACTCATTTGTTGGTGAAGTTACCTAGTAGTACACCCAATATAAATATCTTCACAGGAGCAGCCGTATTTGTAAATGCACTTTGAGGAGGCCAATTCAGTTAGCTTACTCAAACATAGGATTCGTCAGTTGAATGTAGCTGCATCTCGGAGTTGATGTTCACTCTGAAATCGGAACCTAGTACCGTTTGTTTCAAGCAGCATTGCGTTATCCACTCAGCTACTGAGTCCACTCTTGTACAGTGCGATGAAGCCCACTTCATTTGTATCGATAGTTTGCACAAGCTAGTGGCTGTCCGGACGCGGTAGCTAGGTGGATAACACGATGACGCTTGGTGCGAACAGTACTGGGTTCGAGTTTCAGAGTGAATATCGAGCCTTTGATTCAAGTTCATCCGACTGACGAGTTCCAAATAGGATGAAACATGTGTCCTGGGTTCCATCGTCAGCTTTTGTGTGTATATATTGAAAATGTATGAAATTCGGTGTGTCGTATCAACTAAATATTACTTTGGGATGCCCTTTAATAATCCTATTGAATAGATCTATCAAATTTAAGTATACTAGATTGTATTGCATCATCGATGACCTCGTCGCATTTACTTTGTAACTTTACTGAACCATAAGTAGCAACAATTTGTTCATTCGATATTAAAGTAATATCTTTTTTCTCAATTCATGTCTTATTATCTCTGAAAAAAATATCAAATGTTGATTTACTTTGATATTTAAACAGTTATCTTTAGTTGATTTACGCTAATCAATAGAGTTAGTTATTATTTTTTTCTACATCTCATTGTTTCTGTTGTATTCATCTTATCCTCTTGTTATAAAGTCCCGTTATTAAGTAGTTTATGCTTTGACTTACAATATATATATATATATATATATATATATATATATATATATTATAGAGTAATATCAACAAGTTATCAACAAGCACGAGGATATTTAAATAAAGACGAATCTGTTACAAGTCCAAAACCTGTTGAAGAACAACAACAACCATCGAAAGATTTACTTTCCTTTGCAAATATCGAAAAAGACGATTTAGAACGAATCACAGTTTTAGGTGTTGGAGGATTTGGATGTGTCGAGTTGGTACGTTTAATATGATAATATTGTACAGTATTTTATTTGTAAACGTTAACATTTAAGTAATTCTACTTTTTCATTTATTCTGTACAATGATGAAGCGTCAAATATGCGAACATTCAGTAACTGAATGTAGAAGACAAGATATAGTAGATTATATTATTCAAGTCCTTATTCCTACCTGAACATGAAAAACAATATTTTACCATAGATTAAGTTTGCTTCCCATGCTTCATTGTTGTTCTTCTGGGACTTTATTAAAAAAAAATCCTACAATTAAGTTTCGCATTTTTGTTGATCGATTTCGTCATGTCAAGTAATGTTTTTATACAATTATTTGACTAAGTGTTTCCTTGAATGATCACAAATACAACTTTCAGCTTACTTATACGAATGACAATGAACAGATTGCATTCAGTAAATCAATATCATTTTCATACTGTCTTATCATATTTAATCTTCGACTACTAAAAAAAAACTTGACTGATTCAATACAATCAATCTGAAACAATAGGGCATGCAATTGTTGTATAGTTGACAGATTTTCTGTCAACAATTAGAGTAAACAATCTTGTATACAAAAAGGCATATATATAACTACAGAAAAAAAATCCAGCATGGGCAAAAGCCCAGAGGCATTTACACTCAATCCATAAGTTTAGAGCTCTGACTAGTTGACGAATAGATCGTGAACATGTTTTATTCAAAATACTCTAAAGCATTACAAACCTAGTTAAAAAATCAGTTTAGATCCAATGATAACTCCTAACTAGGAACGATTGAAACTAATACAAACCGAATTAATTATGAAATGACAGTGCGACAACTGATGTGTACAACACGTCAAAATTAATCCACAATCACAAACAGATATTATATATATATATATATATATATATATATATATAGTAATAAAACATGACATTAGACTACAATAAAATTCGCAAACTTATTATTAAAACAATCAATTCGATAATGCTGAACGTTGATTCGATAATATAAACCATAAGACTATCATTGAAGTTATCTTTAGAATGAACATTGAATCACAAAAAGAAACTACATAACTTAAAGTTTTTCTATCAGTTTCATACTGTGCACAGAGTACTTAATTATACAATATTAGTAATATATAGTATATACTAGTTGATTGTCAATTGTCTTTCTTTTTTCTTCTTCTTCTTGATAAAAGGTTGTTTGGACAAAAAATCGAACCAAAACATTTGCATTGAAACGAATGAAAAAACAACATATTGTGCATACACGTCAACAAGAGCACATTTGTTCCGAGAGACAAATAATGCTAGAGATTCAATGTCCATTTATTTGTCGGTGAGTAAATATAAAAAATTTTAATTTATGATATTTTTTTTTAATAGAATAGAGTTTTTTTTTCTCTTCAAAATAAATATAAACATCTGTTTAAAATAACAAGTATCTTTTTTGATTCTGTCATACAGCCGATCCATAATGACGCTACTACTATTACTACTACTACTACTACTACTAATAGTAATAATAATAGTAATATGGAACCTTTTGCGTTCCATTTATCCTTTGAAAAATATGTTTCAATTGAGTTGTAAACGATTAAAAACAGTTACACTTAGCACTTTAAAACCACAGAAGTTAATTAATCAATTAATTTTTCTGAGGAATAATATCTTTACAGGTCTTTTTAATCTAGTTTAATGACAACTGAATTATTATTGAAATAAAGTGTTAATTTTTTTGTTTTGTTTTGTTTTACAAAGTCGATTTGCAGAATTTCACTATGAAACATAAATCGAATAGAAAAAAAAACATTGATTTATGTTAATATTTATAATCAATCTCTTAAGTTCAGTCAATTAATGCACTTAGCAATATCAAATGTCGATGACAGTGAAGACTAAACATAAGAAATATATATATATATATATATATATGTATATAATGTTGCTTTAATATTCACAATAGGAATCTTTTCTCATTTTAAAAATATACTTAATAAAACACAGACTAAACCGACAAGTTGTAAAATGATACCAAAAATCGAGATTTAGTTGCATTTAAGGAATGAATGTATGACTACGATTCTAATCAATTTCAAACTATTTTATGTATAGTCTGCAATAGTAAATTGAAATTGTTTTTGTGATCCTAGATAGAAAGTCTGATTAAGTACAAGGAATGTTCGTACAGTAGTGTGATAATGTGAAGTGGCAGTCTGAACTTATGTACCTACGTACGTACGTACAAAGTTCTACGTTGTAACTGACTGACTAACTGACTATAAAATTATCACTAAATGTAGATGTCTACATCATAGAGTCTTTGCAAATTACTGATAAGATATCGACTAGAGAATGAAATAGACAGCTTACTTTCATTAAATTTGAATGCTTTTTTTGCCTTCTTTAATTAGAATCCATTTAAGCATAGCAAAGAAGGAATATCTATTGTTGAGAAATTAGCATTTTTCCTCAATTTTCAGTTGATTTAATGGATCTATAAACTGTATAACTTGTAGATTCAATAGTTATCATTTCTTATTGTTGGAGATCCCCAGAACTCACTTGGAAAAGGTCCTAATTATCTAATTTATTGCTGAAGTTTTGCTTTATTTATGTTTTCGCGAGAAGAGACGCTCAGTTGACCTTCAGCTTACATTTCGCACTCGTAAATTTCCTTGACTGTGATTGGCTGATGGATTATTTTAGTAATGACTACTCGCAAAAACGGATTGATTGACAAAGGTTGACTTAAGACAGAAAATCTAAAAAGAAAGGCATGACACATTCTATATATACAAATTGTTTAACATGATCAGAAGCATTATTTTAACCTGCAAAATCGCGCTCATAGGTTTCAGGCTTGCTTCATATTGATCATAGTACTAATCGATCAAAATGGAGTTGAAAATGACTTGATTTTCTACGGTTATAGAGTTAAAACTATGCGAGGGAAACTAAGTGTGGTTCCATGTGATTTTTTTTGTTGACAATCAGTCAGATCTAATATTAACTGTTACAATAGCCTAAAATGTTTTTTACAAACATTTGCCAATTTAAAAAATGGATATTCTACACCTATTGTCGACGATGTGGATTTGACAAACATCTTAGAAGTTGCACGGTGAATTTTATTCCTTGAACAAAATCTTACTTATATATGTATATTCATACTTTACAGGAAGCATTCAATATTCACACCCTACTAGAATTGAAAAAAAATTACATGTACCAACCTATAGATCATTAGGAACATAATTTATTCAAGTAAATCAACTTGAATAATTACTCTCAGTACTAAATAATATTAGATTTCAAATTATATATTTTATGATACTATCAGACAAAATAGGTTGTAATTTTTTTGAAAATCTAACTTTTCAGTATAATGGCTAAAAATAAAAGTTCAATTAAAAATTTGTTCCCAATTTTCACTTTTGAGATTTAAACTAAAATCATATAAAAATTTTAATGAAATTAAGGGGAATACAATAAAACAACTAGGAATTAGGTGTTTTTTTGAGGGAAAAAATATACTCAATAGACAAATTAATTATTAATGAACATTTTGCTTCATCTCTTGATTATTGATCAACACGTATCAATATTACTTTGCCAACTGATCAATCTACTACAATGCTCTGGTAGGTAGGTAGGTAATTGAAATTTCAGGTTCAAAAGGAAATTTTATTTGCTATCATTCGTAGAAACAACTTACATTCCTTACTAAAGAGTAAAAATAGTCTTTGAAGACTTTCTCAGCATAATACTTCATGTTTAAACAAGGCTGACATTTATATGTTGTATTTGAGAATCATAATAAAAATTAATTATAATTGTGTAGACACTTTAAGAGGAAAACTGTTATGTTCGTCCACTGATTTGCTGGAAACTATTACGAGTTTACCTTAGTCGGTAAACGAGAGCAAAGACAAATTGTTCAGTGACATGATAAGCTACTCTAATCTGGGCGTCCCAACGCCCCACTAAATAAAGGAAGAAGTCTTGACAAGACGTGGAAAGTGTATTCTACAAGCACCCAGAAAATATGAGGTTTCACTAGTACACGAATCGAGTTTATCTAGGCCATCATAGAAACGTCCTTGGGAGAGCACAAAAATTGCGTACTAAAATAATACATCCGCCAGTAATTCTCAATGATTTTCCGGGTGTGAAATGTAATCTCAAGGTTAACTGACCGGCCCATGCTCAAAAATATACAATCCAAAATTAGGCACTTTATCACGTGAGTTCTGGGGATCTAACGTCCCCAACAAAAACTATTCAGAACTAAATTAATTAATATGAGTAAGGTGAAGAAAAGAATTGACAACTGAACTAGTTGCTTACATCTAGTATTTAATCACTTGTTAACAGCAAGTCAATCTTAACTTTAGTTTTCCATAGTTGGAATTCCGATTTTTTTATGGTGAAAATTGTTGTCATTTTTCGAAATTTTCAAGACAGAAACAGAGATATATACGAATGAGCTGTGAATATTCAGCGCCAAAAAGCGACTCAAATCAGTGATCATATTGATTGATTTAACTGATAACTTGAATATCAGTTACTTACCAACTAGTAAAGTCTTCCATATGAGGAAAATAATTTTCTTCTATGTTTATATCAAAGGATCACCTTTTAAATCTATACCATCAAATCTACATCTAAGCAATAAAATCTATTCACAAGGCTGTTCCAAAGTTTTATTTAGTGACAATCATTAAATCACGGATAGTTGATTTGATTTAAACACAGAACATCAATTATTATTGATATTAGAATTGTGAAAAATTTTCACTGTTTGATGAATTGTTTGTGGTTTTGTAATTGGACGTTCGAAAGTTTCCCTGAGCTATTGAAATTTTTCAGTAATCGAATTCGTTCATTCTGTTGAGTTGTATTGGCGAAAACTTACAGTGTGTGAAATTTGGCATTGTTATTTAGTGTTGATGAGTGCCTTACCTGAACAAAACAGCCATCCAGTGCTTCTAGGTTTCTAATGGTGGTCTAACACTGATCGCTTCATAATGTCAAAATAATTTAATAATCTTCACAACTGTTGGGGACGTTAGGTCTCCAGAACTCACTTGGAAAGAGTCCTAATGTTGGATTTTTATGTTTTCGCGTATAAGTCGCTTAATTGACGTTGAGCTTACATTTCCCACCCGAAAAATCCTTGACTTTTATCGGTTGATGGATTATTTTAGTTCACTATTTTGTGGCTAACCCAAGGGCGTCTCTACCATGTATAAATAAGCTCAGTTTGTGTGGCTGTCTACCTCGTATTTTCTGGATACTTGTAGAATACACTTTCTACGCCTTTTCAAGACTTCTTGATATAATTAGCCGGGCTGGTGAAAAACAGATTAGAATAACCTATCGTGTAACTGAATCATTTCTTTCATTTCGTTTACTGAGTAAGTATTCAAGCATATCAGTTGGCGAGAATATATATGAACAATCCTATAATGAGAATGATATTAAAGTGTTTTATTCACATCCTATGCTCTTGAAGAAATCTTTTTTTTAAAAAGTAATATTTTTCAACATAATTTACATAATTTTATATTGATTATTTAGATGTTTTAAAAAAGAAACATAATATCCTAATTTCATTTTTTCTTTCATTAATTTAGTCTTTACTGTACATATAAAGATACCAAATTTGTATACATGCTATTAGAGGCGTGTTTAGGTGGTGAATTATGGACAGTTTTACGAAATAAGTAAGTAGACTTTTTTGTTGAATTGATATTTTTAGTGTTCTAGTAACTTTTTTAAAAGAAATGAGAATGCTATATATATATATATATATATATATGTATATTTTTTTCTGAATACAGATTGTAGTAGTTACTCTCGTCTATACTATTATTCGATGATAGCTTTGTATTGCAGATTAACTGTTGTTGAAAATACAAATCTGTATTTCAAATTGGTAGATTGAAAGTAACACACTCGTCGGAATCTGTTGTATTTTGAAATTATTCTCTTATCAATTTAAAAAAAACAAGAAATCAGCTTTCTGATTTGTTTTTTTACTGTCGTAAATTTTATGATGGAAACTACCTCTCGATTAAATAAATGCTGCACAAAATTATCGAAATAAATTGATAATAATTTACGTACATCGGAACTGAAGTTGAAAATCATTTAAACAAATACATACTCATTGGTTTGTCTAATAATGAGTACTATATGCTAAGAACACTTACTATTAAATTCAAACAATTTCATCTGACAATTTATCTCATCAGTTTGTGGAGATTGTTGATTTACTTTGACATCATGAATCGACCAATGTTAGACTACCATCAGACACTTGGAATGACTAGGTAGCCTTTTCGTCTTGGTATGGCGCATCCACTACTCCCACTACCCGTAGGATTCGAACTCAGGACTTTCGCTGTTGCGTTCGTATGCCTAACTTCTGGCCCACTGAGCCGGCATCCAACACTATATCAAGACGAAACGGCTGTCCAGTGCTTCAAAGTTTCTAATGGGGTAGTCTAACATCAGTTTTTTTTAGAAAAAAAATCTAATAATAACTAGTGTGCCAATCTTTCATTAGTTAGACATTTATTATATTTATTAAAAAAAAAGTTCACAGCCGGGTTATGTAAAACAACATTGTCGAAAATAATAATAAATGTCAATAATCAACAATAGTACAACGTTATACAATAAACAAAAAAAATCAATTATTAACTCCAACTGATTACTTTCCAGTGGATTGTTGAGAATATATGTAGAGAATTCAACGAGAAAAAAATTAAACGATAAGCAAAATCAGGTGAAGGTCAAATAAGATTTAATTAAGATAGCTATGATTATTTTTAGATCAAAACAAACAATGCGATGGTTTTCTTTTTAAAAGTTGTCTACATAATTGTGGTTAGTTTTTATTATTATGATTCTCAAATACGACAAATATATGTCTGCATTGTTCAGACGTGAAGTATTATGCTTAGAAAGTCTTCAAAGACTATTTTTACTCTTTAGTGTAAGGAATAAAAGCTGTTTCTATCATTGCTTGTAAATCAATGTTTTGAAAGCTGAATTTCAGTTATTATATAATCGAGCGTTTGAGTAGATTGATCAGTTGGAAGAATAATAATGGTATATTTTGATCATCAAACAAATTGTATCACACTCATTTAATATTAGCTGTTACAGTTGATTTGTTTTGTTTGTGGAGTTAAATGTTAATTGAGTGAGAGCATATTACCTATAATGTGAACTATCTTCATTGAGGAATGTTGTAAGGTGGTTATTTATGATTTTAATTGATATATATCATTGAGACATTAGATTTAAAGTTTGAACATAATGAGTTCTGCCCAGTTTTATGAACATCAACTGACAATTTCAGAAGGTTTTTCCAAAATTCAATGAAAACCACGTACAGTCAGACATTCCTCAATGAAGACAGTTTATTATGAGACACATATGCACTGATTCTACTTACCTTTTAACTCAATATACAAATCAAATGAACTGTAACAGCTATAATGAATGGACAGAATATAGTTTTAGTGACAAATATTAGTTTTTGTCTGTAAATTGGTTTTACTTTCATCTCTCCGACTGAATTTTTAACATGTGTAGTGCGTACAAATATGTTGAGCTCACAGGGCATGCCCAGCATTTGGATAATTTAATCCAATCCATTCTTCTCGAGTTATTATTCACACGTCTTTCCATGTTGTTAATAATTATTGTCTTGTTTTTATTTGAGTGTGTGTGTGTGTGCGTATTGTTTATTTCGCTTATTACATGTCTAGCCTAATTTTGTCTGATCTAAAAACAGTTAGTTATGCCTCATGGGTATTGGATTGGCTCTCTGGCCTTCTCGCTTCTCTTCGCTCTCACGATCTGTATTCGCAATGTATGTCTGCATGAAATGAATGCATGAAATAAACTCATCCAATTGAATTCGCATTTGGCTTCTTATTACCGCTGTCGCATGAACACGGTTTGCCTAATCATGATATACAAACAATGAAGAGAAGATTTATTTCATAGCCTTTAGTCTTCCGTGCAAATTGGATTCGAACCACCAGTTAATAAACATTTCCTGGAATTTAATTTCACATTAAGGAAAACAGCTACTTTGACATAAATGGTTATAATTATTATTTATAAACGTGTTCACCTATCTATTCAATACAATGTTTCTCCGATACCATTCCACAAGTAAGGAAATAGGTTTTAGAAGGTTTTGATGGCTCGGGATCTAACTCTATTTTTGACGAACGATTATATACGATAATGAAATAAGTCTCCCGTTTAATTTACGTTTATTATCCTCACTCGAAACCCGTTTATGCCACGGAAGTTACTAAAAACCCTTCGCAGATTTATTTCACCCACTCGCGTTTGCAGACAGACAAGAATGAGAGGCATAAAAGCGAAGCGAGTGGGCCAACTCCATTTACGGTCAGACAAAAATAATCTAGACACACGCCTGTTACCCTTGTCGGAACATAAGTTGCCCGACCAGCATTCTCCAACATATTCTGTCTTGGGTCTTCCTTTCTAGTTCTATCCAAATGTTGTTCATTCTTCTCATGTCTGTCTCCATTTCTCGGAGTGATCTTTTTATTGGCCTTCCTCGTTTCCGTGCGCCTTGAGGATCCCAGATGAGGGCTTGCCTCGTGATGCAGTTTGGGGATTTCCTCAATGTGTCCTATCCACCTGCAGCACTTTTCCCTGATTTCTTCTTCAACTGGAATCTGATATGTTATCTTCCACAGTAGACCTTTGCTAAGGTGTCTGACCGACGGATCTGTAGCGTCTTGCATAGACAACTTTTAATAAACACATATATCTTTTGGATGATGGCTTTCATGGTTCTCCAAGTTACAAGGTAGGAAAGCACTGATGCTATAATAGGAAAGAGCTTAAACAGCTCAGACAATATTATGTTTATATAGTCGACACTTTACAATGGTCTTAATAATAATAGAACATTAGGAGACAATTTAAACACAAATGTTGGATTGTCTGGTATATTTATTGATAAAAAGTAATGTTGGGACTTTGCAACCCACTATCAATCTAGAGAGCGACTCGCGAGCAACAAATTCAGCAATTTGAAATGGGATGCGCATCTATGACTACATCCATACTACAGTTCTTGGTATGGTATCTTTTTTCCTATGTTTCCTTTGAATGTATTGAACATCAATCATTTTGACTACATAAATAAGTGATGGAAAGAAAAACACAGTTTTCCTAGCTGAATCGGTGCGAAACTTGGTTGTTGTTTAAATACTGACAGTAGATATTGACTGTTGAAAATATTCATAAAATATGTTTTAAATTATTATAGTTTGAATAAAAATGTTTGTGAGTTATTTGTTGTAATAATGCAAAATTACTGCTGAGAATTTCATGTATTAAAATAAAATTTCTACTAATGAGTAAAGAGATATTATCATTATTATATCTACATTGTCAATTCATTAATAAAAAAAAATAGGACTTTTCACCATTTCAATTTTATTTGAATGTAAAATGTGATGAACGTTTTGACTAATCAATAATTCTACAAACTGTTGATTATGAACTCTATTTATAATTCAATAATAATGAATTGAAAAGTAGTGGCTGCATCGCTTTCTATCCATTTTCATTCAACATTCTTTTTGATTATTTGACCGAAACTAATGTAGATTAGTCTTCAAGTAAATTTGTGCTGGCCAATGTAACACTAGTCTCGTGACGGTTGATATTCAACGTATTCTTAATCTTCATAATTTGCTCGTCTTAGCAATCGTCACCAAATAGCGTCTGACGGTTATAAATTAGAAGGTGAACACGAAGTGTTGAATACGTTTATTTTTGACACACCACAAACACACAAAGAAGAACAAGCACACTGGCAAGCGATTTGGCGAATTGATGAATGTATTAATACGATTAAAATGTTCGTATATATGTACATAGGGAAATATCGAGTCACCGAGATATTTAAGAGATTGACATTGAGGCGAATAGGATGAATATGTGCGTAGGCGTAAACAATATTCAGTCGTACCAGCTCATACAAACCAGACAATAGTAAACACCAATGATATATAATTATATAAATTATTGTTATACAAATGGCGTGGTTAAATAAGTTAATCGAAAGTCTTAGCCAAATTAAATATAAGCGAACTCAAATGTATGCGGAGGCAGTGCAAATTAACATTAATAATTCATTTCCGGCAACAGCTATTTAAAGGATCTATCTGATTAACAAGAAATACTATTGTACAATATGTAAAAAATGTTATGTCTAGTATATTTTAGTTTTGTTCTCTAACGCTCACTACTACTGCATTCTTATAACAACGTTATCATTAAATTTTTTGTGAAGTTTCATAAAAAATCATTTTGCAAATATAAATAATGTATTATGCTTTTCCTTTAAATAAGAAAAACTAAATCTTTTGTCTTTCACAAATGGTTATCGGGATGACAAATCAACCTAACTTGGGTAAAAAAAAATTGGAAAACATCGGACTGCTATTTTATCTTAGTACAGGATTCTTAAACAATGCTCACTGACAGCACAATCAATGGCTGTCAAATCGATAACCCTTAAGAACTCGAGGTGACAATTTGAATTTTAGACTACTGAGACTGGTTGTCACGTGTAACTTCAGTCGAACCGATGATATTGCCTAATCATCTATGATCGTTGTTCAATAGCTATCTTAAACCAGACACGGTCTAACTGTTGTGGTCACAGCTTCTTAACAGAGCCCTCCTAGAATTACCCATTTAAATTAGTAACTTGTCAGAATATGATATAGTAATCATTCTTATACCGGTTTTTAACATATTCATCGAATTTCATTATCTTATATTTTGTAAATGAAACAAAGTAGCCAACCATATGATGGTAGGTACTATCAGAATACTATATCATCTCTAAATTGACTTTAATTAAAACTAATGATAGTAGCGCTAAAGTAGCCATTGTCAAGTGATTAATTCATAAACTTGGCTTCTTAAAGTGATGGAAGTTAGTCATTGCGTATATAGCTGGACTGATTGTATGTTACTTTAGTAAAATGATCAAGATATAAGTTCTTTGTACAACAACAAACAGAACAACTTAGTTACTATCTATAAGAATAAAACAGATGGTATGCTTTTGTAGACATGACTCTCGCATAGACTATATGCCATATGAATAGATCTCCTAGAGGTAATGGTTGTTATATTATCGAGTCCCTAGCATTAATGGAATTCAATTGATCAGGTTCATAATTGTTGCAAACAAAAGTATGGTTCAAGTTCGGTAAATATGTAGTTCTCTACGGAATAGCTTATTGATCATATCGCTGTTTACAGCATCTAGTAGCTTGAGTTGAACTGCTTTCCGGAGGATTGTTGATGAATATTAACACCTAGCAAAAATATACTAAATAAGGGTTTTTATTTATTGTTTCTATTATAAAAACAATCTATTTTAAAAAATTTATAAACACACCATTTAAAAAGTGATTACTTTTTTGCAAAAAACTGTTTTCAAGGGGTCGTTTCGATGATATTATGACACGTTTTGTGGTTGCTTGTGTTCTGGAAGCGTTCACTTACTTACACACACAAGGGATTTTATATAGAGATCTGAAACCAGAAAATTTACTCCTTGATCACAGAGGTTACGTGAAATTAGTAAGTTTTTTTCCCTGATTAGTAACTGAACTTTTGTATAAAATCAATGATTTGATAAGTGTTGTCATTTTTTGTTAAACTTTTATTATGAATTTGATCAAACATATTTCATACTATTGAATTTCATGATTATCAGTCTGACAGGGAAACAGACAAATCAGATTAGAATGAAGTAGTGTAATACTATTCAAATGGCTTTAAAATATCACTAGAAAGTATAAAGAAAAAATCAAACTATAGGATGATTGTATAAACGAAAGGAATATGATCCGAAAATCATTGACATCAAATAGACAAACGTATTTCTGATAATGTTCGATTTAAGGAAAGTAGGTTTCACATCAATAAATCGACAATCCTAACACTTACTTTACTCGACGAGCTATGTTTTACCATGTAGGAGTAGGTTGGACGAAAGCTAAGGGCTGCCAAACCAAAACATGGCACCAATCCATGAAGTCACTGACAAGTGGACTGAGTCATGTTGATAGATGGAGACTACCTGGTTGGGGTCCACGAGGGGACACGGCTCAAAAGCGTTTGTAATGGTGCAGGTGCATTCATTCATTGTGTTCTCTCAAATTCTAACCTTCTGTATTCCTCATCATCTCTACATTTCTCTTTCTAAAGTTATCTCACTGAATCATACTTCTCGAATCATATCTTCGATCCGTAATCTCCTCCATCACTGCTAATACATCTACTATCTCTACCACTATGGTATTCGAAGTGACAATTGCACCTCTGTGCTGATGTGATTCGGCAACTTGAACTGATGTACTTATGTACGAAGTTCTACGTTATAACTGACTGACTAACTGACTCATTCTTCTTAAGAGGAATACAATAAACTTTGAAAATAAGCAATTAGAAATTAATGAAAACTTTCAATCTCTTGTATGGATGTGTGTGTCTCTTTATTATTCAGGTAATTCCATTTGTAAATTATCACTAGTAAGATTTCTAAAGGAAAGTATCAAATACTCTTTTATCATTAAGAAGAAAAAAGTATTTAGTAAAAATCATCTCGAAAAATTTGGCTTCATTAAATTAAATATGTATTTATGGTAAAGGTGGTTTTTATATTGACATTTCAATATCAATCAAATACTTTGAGAGACGTTTAGAATGTTTCAATTTCTTGTTGAATATTTTTTCAAAGAAAATCTGTAAAATGAAGTAATTTTTTTTTCACAGCCTAACACATGACACGTATTCTAGAAGATATTGTGATATTTTTAACTGAAATTATCATTATTCAGTAGATGTACTTTAAGCATACCATTTTAAGTAGGATCATAGGATATCGGAAATGTCATATATCACTTTCAATATTCCACTCAATGGATATGCTGTTCACAGGATTAGAATTTCATCACATTTTTAAAGCGGACATAGTGTTCAAGAAAATTCTTCTTTTTGGCGATGTAGGATTTGATAAAGTTCACACTGATGACAGACATACAATACAGAACATTCCTGCAAGTATATTAATCATTCGACGAAGTAGGTTTTTCATATTAGAAATTTCTTCTCCTCTAAGTCAAAAATACGACTAACTGTTGTTACAAGTGGAGATTTGCTTACTGAGAAGAACACTTCTAACTAACTGATTATCAATAAAAAGAAATAACCATCTTCGTGTTTCTATTGCAATCTATCAACCTACTGAAGTGTTTTGATTACTTACTTTTTAAATGTACAAATATTGCAGTTAAACTACCAGTTTGTTTTAGCTTTGATCGAACTGAATCAATACAAATAGTAATGATATGCGCTTACAAACTGTGACAGAAGCGTTACAAATGATTCCTGTTCTAAAGACTAAAAAAGTACAGAGAGAAACACTACCATTCTTGATAATGGTGTATTTTTTTCTCTCTTATGTATTCTTTGAAGAAACGAAAAACAAATGTACTGAACATTAAGCATTTTATGTAAATACATAAATATGTGATGAAGAGAAAAAAAAACAGTTTTTAGTAGTTGAATCGGTGCGAAACTTGATTGTTGTTTAAATACTGACAGTAGATATTGACTGTTGAAAGAAAAATGTTTTTTTTTATTTTTAAAAAAAAACCAAGCACTTTATATATGATGTATATGTATATGTATTTGTTATGAATTATTTTAGTGTGATTTTGGATTTGCCAAAAGAGTTGGACATGGGAAAAAAACTTGGACATTTTGTGGTACACCGGAATATGTTGCACCAGAAATTATTTTAAATAAAGGACATGATCATTCAGCGGATTATTGGTCTTTAGGTATTCTGATTTATGAATTACTCACGGGAAGGTAATAAATATATGTATATATATATATTTTATTACTTATCATTGATGTGTTAGTGTGTAATTTTTGGTCTAATTATTTGCTGAATAAACTTCATAGCTATTATGTCAGTTAGTTACAATTTAGAATTTTGTACGTACGTACATCAGTTCAAGTTGCCAAATCACATTAGCACAGAGACGCCACAGTCAATTCAAATCCCATAGTGGTAGAGATAGTCGAAGTATTAGCAGTAATGGAGAAGATTACGGATCGAAGATATGATTCGAGAAGTAAATTTAGGTAAATTTAGAAAGAGAAAGATAGAGATGATGACGAATTCAGAATTTTAGGATTTGAGAGAACACAAAGAGTGGATGCACTTGCGCCATGTTGTTCAAGGTCTCTAACCATCGGTGACTTTCGTCTCGAGGATGACAAACAAGTAGTCTACATCTGCCAACATGACTCAGTCCACTAGTCAGTGACTTCATGGATTTGTGCCATGTTTTGTTCTGGCCGCCCCTATCTTTCTTCCAACCTACTCCTACATGGCAAAACATAGCTCGTCAAGGCAGTCGATGGTTAGGTATACGCAACACATCTCCCAACCACTTCAATTGGTGGAGTTTCACTATATCATCAATTGATCTGCCATCCCTACCTAATACTCTTTTCCTAACACTATCATTGCTAACTCGGCTGTCCCAGGATATACGAGCTATGCTTTGAAGACATCTATAATCGAATACTAATAGCCTACGAATATCTTCTACTCTGACTGGCCATGTTTCGCATCCAATGTAGTAGAACGGAGCGAACTACTGTGTAATAGACTGAACCTGTGATTAGCAAAGGTAGTATTAAAAAGAAAAACAAACAGATTTCATACTTAAACTATAGATTCTGGTCATTAAAATTATACTGATATGCTATAGTAGTTGAAAATAATTCACAGTACATTCTAAACATAAGCTTTGTTTGTGTTAGTTAACGCTTGCCAACAAGATATACCTATAATCTTGATCGATACTGAAATATTAATGCACTCTAACTAAAAAAAACACCAGTGTTATGAAGTCATTTACATTGAAAGTATGTGATTATAAATATTAATTAATAGGATATTGATAATTAATTTTAATGCAGTGAATGATATTCTCGGTGTAGAATTTTTATAAACTAATCTGTTTGTTATTAATTAATTTGTATTTGGTTGCTTATCTGATTAATCATTCATTCATTGTGTGAGTGTGAATTACTTCAAATTGATTTTTACTATATCAACGGTTCAATGATTCCTCAGTTGAGGATAACTTTGAAGAAAAATATTGAGAAGAAAAAGCATTTCAACTAAATATCACAAACTTAAACATTGATCATGTAATCATTAGGGACTGACTCTGACTTGAATTTTCTGAAGTTTCAGGTGGCAATAACTATGGTTTATAAAGTCATAGCACGTTGTCAATGATGCAAGGACATTGAATGAATATTATGTGTCATATTTTAAATTACACATTTTTGAAACCATGAATCGATCAATGTTAGACCATCATTAGAAACCTGGAAGCACTGTAACTTAACAATCTTCACAACCACGTAATGCAAAATATTTTAAATTGACTACAAAATTTAAAATGTCACACTCATTCAAAATTATCGTATTTAAACAGCGATATAAACCTCACCAGCTCCATTCTTGTCGGCAGTCACATGTGTTCACTACAAATTTGACTTTTAAACTAAAATGTTTATGTTTTTAGATTTTAATGTTTTTCAAGTCGTTTTCAGTCGACTGTGAAAATTGGTTGAAAAAAAACAAACAAATATCTGAAATCTTTCAATATATTCATCATCAGTTGTACAGTGTAATGTACTTTGCCAACTGATAATTGAATCATGCATTCTTTACTTCACTGACTGTTCCCTTGACAGTTTCACTTTTTCTAAAGAATAAAATCTTCAAACTTGATTTGTCTATTACAAAACCAGTTTTAAGAAACATCAATTGACTTGACAATTATTTGTTAAATATATATATTTTTTGCCGTATATATGGTTATGATATTTATTTGTTTATAGATACTGTCTGTGCTGTGATGCACAAACCATTTGTTAAGTGTTTCCAAAATAAACTAATATATCACCTGTGACTACATAATTGAGAATTAAGTTTTTATAATACTGAATTACTTCGAAACTATCAAAAATTTAGTATTAATATCCAGTTCATCACCTATCGGTTGTATAGTTGTTTACTAGTGAACAAAAAGTCTTGAAGCTACTATATTTACTCTTTAAACTTTTCAAAACAGTGGTTCCATTTGATAAATTTGAATAGAGAAATAAGAAGACATATTTTGTGAGATAGTACCATTTCGTGCTTTCTCGTCAGTCACATACAAGCAACATGTTATTTGTGTAAATAATCAGCCTTTAGAGTTGTGACATGTCATCAAAACCCACACACACTGAAACTACTCGAAGCTATCTTGATTGGTCGGAAAAGTCCAACTTTATGTGTTCAAAAACAACTGTATGTTGACCTTTGTTTACCATGGTTCTAGTGAGTGAATGCCATGCTAAATAAGAAATTTTGACCTTATCTGTATTTACACAAATAACATGTTGCTTGTATGTGACTGACGAGAAAGCACGAAATGGTACTATCTCACAAAATATGTCTTCTCATTTCTCCTTAAACTTTTGTTTATTGTCTGCCTCAGAACCTTGAAAAGATAATATGGAAACGTCTCACGGTGATTATGACATAACATTAACCTGTCACGTCTTCAACTGTTGGTAAAAACCGTGCAAAATGACCACAGGCTCATAAAATCAAATCGATGATGGAGTAGAGATCGATTGATAAAGTTTTTAGTTGCCATATTGATTCAAACATTTATCCTGTTCATCTGCATCTAAATTGTAGCATACGTTTGTATGTTTCACTTTTCATATTTTCTTCTTTGCTGGTTTGTCAATATCTTGATTCCGTTTACAAAGAATATCGTCATCGTTTTCATGTTTCTGAAGTTATTTTTGTTAGAATGAAATGCTGGAATGGTGTATTTATTTTAACCGCTACGTTATTTCAATCTGGTTGGTGTATTCATTTAAAGATCCTTGCCATTTTTATCTTAGATTGGTTCTCTTGGTAGTTTTTCTATACTCTATATATCTCGTCTTATGTTAGGTGGTTGAAGTTGTGAACAGCACTGAACAACCATGACATTTCTCACTGTTCGGTAATCAATCAGTTGTAACGATCCAAACTTTACAGGTTAGTTAGTTGCAACTCGAATGGCCTAGTGGTAATGTTTCAGAGTGTTAGGTGGGGTAATCCAATTGCAGAATTCACTTAAAACCCAAGGGGCTAGCGAAACACGACAATGGTCACTAATCAGTGATCGTTCCATTTTTTTTACACTTTTAATATTTGGCTTTCTTTTTGGTTAAAGTTTATTCATTGGAATTATGATTCGAAAGAGCAAATAATTTTATACTTTGAAAAATAAAAAGATTTGCATTATAAGTTTTGAACACTGTGTAATTTTATTCCAATTATTTCTCAAGTATTTATTAAATAAGCCTTTCAAGTTTAAATTATGAACTGATTGTCTACAATGTGATTTGTTATTCCTACTAATCATATTTTTTTTTCAAATTCCATTCACAGTCCACCATTTACTGGTACTGATCCAATGAAAATTTATAATGTTGTTTTACGTGGAATAGATTGTATTGAATTTGATCCACAGAATATCAGTCGAACTGCAGGTACACTCATTAAACGTTTATGTGCACAGAATCCAGCTGAACGATTAGGCTATGGACGAGGTGGAATAATCGATATTAAACAAAATAAGTAAGTGGTAATGTATAGTGAATATTCTGATCTGGTTAAATTATTATTTTTTTTACAAAGTTTCATATTGTGTAAAGTACAACATTCATTATGATAATTAATATGATTATTCTCTCAGGGTTATGTTTTTTACACCTTATGAATACAGCACATGGATTTCATTAACAGTTCTCGGAAAACAACTGAAAACTATGAAACGATAGACGAATGATTGTTCTTAATTTGAGAATATTTCGTATTCAGTACCTACTAAGCACGCTCAAAATAAAATCGAAGAATTTGGCAACTGACATAATTCTGTTACTTCATGTGTTGAACATCAATAATTGAGTGATGTAGTAAAATTTTCATCTCACATCATCGGTGAGGTATTGTTTCAATTTTGGCTTTTTACTGGTACATTCGAAAACCTATCATCGCATTTATCGTACTGACTGTGATAATTAAAGTACCAATGTAGGATTCTGTGCAGTGTTGTATGTGAACACTATTAGAAAGTCAAAAAGTCATGCAAAACTCCCGTCGTACGATTCTCACTGCCTTTCTGAATATCAATTCTTGATTTTTAAAAAATCACTTTTAACATATTCCAAATATTCATAGGACCTCATTATTTCTTTTAAATCGATCCACATAATGGTGTTCTCTGAATGACAGTTAGGAAGAATTATGTGCAAAAACAAAGTTAAAGAAGTTAGAAACACTTCTAGATTAAAATCATATCAAAGTAGGGCGCACTAATATGTCGAGCACGCATGATCTGTCTCAACCTTTGAACAAACTGATCAATCTGTTCCTTTCGAGTTACTATTCAGACGTCATTCGATCATGTCAATTATTCACTTATATTCTCCGTTGTTTTTATTGGAATGCTCGTGTGTAGTGATTACTTCACTTATCAAGTGTCTGAATTATTTTTTTCCAGCCATAGATATTCAGTCACGCCTCATTACACAGAGTTGGCTCACTCACTCTCTCCGCTTCACTTTGCTTTACCTCGCTTCGCCTCCTATTGTTCGTCAGTTTACACGAATGTATAAAATAAACTCGTACACAAAACTGTTTCGGGCTTTTAATTAATACCGTTGCACAAACGAGGTTCACCTAAGAATGACATACGAAAATTAGACGAAAAGATCAGTCGTTCGTCCAAACTGGAGTCCGACTCTGAGCCACTAAATCATATTGCAGTTTAAACTATCTCAATAACCAGATAATTTTTAAAATAAAATGTCATTTATGTACATAATTTTAAGCATATTACAAATCGTATTCATAAAATTGTCATCGACTGTAAAATTATTAAATTTTATTAGTATGCAAAGTAAACAACGTTTGTTATTGTTTACTATCTTATCATCCGTAACCAGTCGAAAATAATATTGATAATTATAAAAATCAATAATAATAATAATCAGTTCATCTTATTGACCGACCATGTTATTTAAATAAGGTATGGGAGCGAACAAAATCCAAATAAACTGATTAATCGATTAGATGATATGTGTGTATGTATAGGAGAGAAAATTCACACAATATTCATTCTCCTAACTTTAAGTTATGCCATTATCATTCTATCTATCTATCTATTCATGCTTCCTGTAACTCGCCTTAATAATTTACTGATGTAAGAATTGATAAATGTAACTGGTAGAATATTTATTTCATATTACTAATAATAATGTTATTGTTTTATGCTTATCTCAGTGTGTATAAAATAATCTCTATCTATCTCTAGCTATGCAAACAAGTCTAATAAAAAAAGTATACATAACTAATGTTCCATTGATAATAATCTCTTTAGTTAACAAAAATAGTAATAAGATAAAAACTGATCAAGTTAACTGGACTATCATTAATGAAAGAGTAACAGTCAATTGATGAATTAGTGAGTGAAGAAAGAATTGAATTATGACATCAAAGTAAATGTTTATAGGATACCGGTTTTGTCTAGAGTATCGGTTTAAAAAAAATCCTTTATACTTATTGTCCCTGATGGAATTTGTTATACTACATAAAAGACAATCTAAGAGAGAGAGGGAAAATCAATTGACTCCAATTTTTTCCCCACTACATTACATCATTTCCTGCAATATTGAATAAAGGCATATACTCTCTTAATTGCACATTACCATATTTGAATGGGTAGAGTAAAGTAATAGGCTAATGATAATATTAGTAGTAGTATGGTACGTCACATTAAAACATGGAATATTTTCATAGAATGAAAAAAGAATGTGGCTGTGTGTTGATTCAAAAAAGTAAGAAAACGATAAAAATCTATCAGACGAAGACAATAAAACGTTGTCTACAGGTTGAAATGGCTGTTATTTCATTTCTTAATTCATCAAAACATGTATTTATATTATTAAAAATTGTGAATCAATCAATGAATGATTTGACAATAGCTATATGCAACACTAATTTCTGTAACAATTAAGTAATCAAATAAATTACTTACTTACACCTGTCCTGAATCGCTCCTTTCCAGTTGTTCGTTTAAGTACTACTATTCATTTTTTTTTGATGTCTGCCCCTTAATACCTGAAATTTTATATCCTTTGGTCTTTCTATTTTCATTTTGTCTTGCTTTCTCTAAATGAAGTAAATAGTCAGTCTTCTTTATCTTGAAATTCAGAAGAATTTTTTGCATGTTTGTTAGTGAAAGTAAGATCTCATTGATCAATGAACGTATATAAACAAACACTTAACTCATTGACCATTGAATATGTGAAATTTCCAATTTAAAAATGGATATTGACTATGAAACCCACTAAAAGTGTAGACTACTTGTAATTTATGTTTAATCAACTATTGTCTAGGCTGTACTCTGATTCTTTTTTTTTAAGTTGTCTGTAAATCATATATCTAGTATAAATAAATTAATCCAAGTCTATATAATTGTATCATCAAGTGAAAATCTAATCTACTTATTAGCATAATCCTAATCTCATAGTGGTATAATGTGGTAAATAATAAATTAGTTTTATTCTCTCATCATTTATCACCACTCACATACTTTCATTTCAGTTATTTTAAGTTTTTTCTGTAAATTGTTCTTCCAAACCATAAGGAAAATGATGTAAATTAAAAGGGAATTGAATGTTTAAAATATAACATTGAAACTATGTGCCTCCACACCCTTATCACTTTCGTCTTATATATTTAGTTAAGGCTAAAACGAAACAAAATGAAAAAACACATTGATTAATGATATGTCCGAGAATATAGTTAGTGTATCTTGTCTACTAAAAGTGGTTTTTATGCATTCTACTACTTTTTAGCTTGTTACTGTAATATTTTCTTATTTTTGTAAAGAAAGACAATGTAACAGTTTATAATAATCATACATAAAAGACACTGACAGACATTCATAAAATAGAGTTTAGTATAAATGTTCATTGATCCTATCTGATTAGCACGAGATGAAATTGGAGAAAATGATTGTAATATTTTAGAAGCTGTTAAGTTTATCGAAGCTTTCGACTAAGCGATTTACCTAAAGAATGACTCAATTGTTAAAGAATATACACAAACTGGTTACAGAGGGTTCATGTTATAAATAACATAAAGAGTACAAATACATGATAGCATAAATGACAGCAGGCAAATGTATCTTATGTCAATAATAGTTTTTAATGACTCAGAATCTGACTCCAATTCGAACGAATGACTAAATATTCTATGAAACAAATCTTTGCTTCGATTTCCACAGATACTGTTATGTGGATGAGTTTATTTCATACATTCGCGTAAGCAGATAAACAATAGAATATGAAGTGAAGTAAAGCAAAGTGAAGCAGTGAAGGCGAATGGGCCAACTCAATACAATAGGACATGACTAAGTATTTATAGTTGGACAGAAATAAGTCAGACATGTCAGTCAATCAGTCAGTCAGTCAGCTAAAACGTAGAGAGCGGTATGTGCGTACATCATTTCGAGCTGCCATATCGCATTAGCACACAAAGATTGAATTGTAAATTCAAATCCCATAGTAGTACAGTTAGTAGAAGTATTAGCGCTATTTAAAACGACTAGGGGTCGAAGATATCATTCGAGAAGTTTATCCTGGAGGAATCAATTTAAAAAAGCAGTCATGAGGAATCCAGAAGATTAGAATCTGCGAGAAGACAAACGGTGGATCGCAAACGATTTTGAGCCATATCATCCAAAGTCTTTACCATTGGTTACTATCATCTCGCACACCCCGGAAAGGTAGTCTACATCTACCAACATGGCTCAGTTCAGTTGTTCACAGTTTCATAGATCTGTGCCATGTTTTGGTTTGGCCGCCTCTACCTTTCTTTTGGTCTGCTCCTACTTTAGATATCGCTCATCGAGGCAGTCGGTGGTTAGGCATTCGTAATTCATGTCCCAACCACCTTAACTAGTGAAGTTACACTACTTCATCTATTGGTTTGCTATACCTACCTATTACCTGTTTCCTAACAACGGCAACGCTCACTCAATAGTCCCAGGATAAACGAGCAATGCTTCTAAGACACCTATGATCGGAAACCAGTAACCTACGCTTATCCTTTACTCTTACTTGCCATGTTAAACCAGACGTGATAAGCGAATTAATCAATGCACACCGCACTCAAGTAACAACAACCGAGATTATATGCGAATCATTGACAAGATCGAGTGATGTGTGGATGATAGCTAGAAAAGAATGGATTGGTTAATTAGTCCAATGACTGGGACATATTAGTGCACAACCGAAATAGAAACTAAATGGAACAAACATGGCAGTTATCGTTTTAAACAAAGATTCAAGGAATGTACAAAAATGGGAATAATTGTTACAAGACTCAAGGGAAAACAATCATAATAATAAATATAATAAATGTGATTAGGTAATGTAATTAAGCACAAAAAAACTTGCATCACATCGTATATTGAGAAATTATTAGAAATAAAACTGTTTACTGAATATTAACAAGTAGTATAAAACAATATACAAAAACGTTTCGAGAGAGAATGAAATAAGGACAGTAAATGTGGAATAACTCAACCGTAGAGATAACAAACCTTGGGTATACGGCTAGAAGCAACAGAGTGAAAAAGTAGGCATGCATGGATACTGGAGTTGAACATTGTGAAGAAGGTAAAGATTGAGCTAGTCTGCGCAAATGATTTTGAACCATGTTTTTCAAATTCTTTAACCACTCATCACAACTATCTCGCAGACTCCAACCGCTTAGTCTGCATATACCAACATACCCCAAACGAACAATCACATACTCAATTGACTAATGACACTTTGGTTTGACCCCCCCCCTATCCCCCTCTCAAACAAACTTCTATACTAGTAAATATCACTCGTCGAGCTGTGTGATGGTTATTAATTACAAAAATTTACCTTTTTCATTCAAAGATAACACGATTTAATACATTTTCAAATACGAGTTTGAGAACTGTTACCATAAACATGATTAAACATATAACGAACTTCTACCAAATTGTTCCCTAAGTATAAAACTATCATAATTTTCTATCTTTAAGAATGACATCGATTTTCTTATCAATACATTTAGATATTTTCAAGGATTTGATTGGATCGGTTTGCATCGTGGTACATTGGCTGCTCCAATACAACCTATTGTAAGTTGTCTTCATTCATTATGAATTATGTTGTATGAAATTTTTGCTTTATCTTTCAAACTGTTCAAAATCTAAGTGATTTATACAGTTTTACAGGGTATAAATTGGAGACGGTAACTTGATGATTACAGTGCCGAGTTTTTAATTAACGGTTAGTTAGATCTAACTTGCTCCATTTATTTTAGCTCAGGCAGTTAAGCTGTATAATTGGTCTTCATATCCGGAGGTGAACTTCACACTTAAGATCCAAACCAATTACTTATCAAATGGACATGTATTTTAAAAATCAATTAAACTACCTTATTTCATGAATTGACCAAATGTTCAACTTCACTAACGCATCACTTTCCTAGAAAATAATTTTTTGATAAAATGAATATTAGTACTACGTACCACCTTGGCGGACTAATCATACACATGCCCAAGCACAGTCCCTTTTGGCGAGCTACGGTAATTATGGTGGAGTTTCGTTCTTTGAACTGGATGATTTGGTTGTGGAGCTTTCATCGTCAGCACAAACTTCAAGTAGAAGTGAAGTATTCGAGTTTCTCCACTCGCAGCTTGTCCTCTTGATCTCCATTGATCGTTATTGATTTTTAACTTATCGTTATCTTCCTCTTAATTTCTATTGTATCATCCTTTGATTTGGTTCTTGATGTTACGCTTGTCTATGATTTTTCTGATTGACTGATAAATTGGATCGATGTCGATGTGTTTGTTGACTGCTGCTTGACGTGAGTGCCAAGCTTCTAAAAAATCTCTAATGTTCTTTACACTACCTCTATCCAGTATTGCAACCTTTTCCCTATCGAATGTATGTCCAGAGTTGTTCGTACGTAATGATATAAGGGAAGATATGTCATGCCGTTTGACTGTTAATTGATGTTCACGCAGGTGAAGATGAAGGGGCCGTCCACTTTGTCCGATGTTTCGTTTTTCATAACTGGAAAAATTAATTTTAGTTTGCAATTTCTGATATGTCTTTTATGTATAGTTGGATGAACTTTTTGTTCTTTTCTGTATTTGATTTCGTTTCTGCTGATGGTTGAGGTTGATATTTTTCGATAAAGTTACGTGGGTAACCGTTCTTTTGGAAGATAGTCATCAGATATTTTTCTTCGTTTTTTGTACTTCTTATGTGCTGCAGTGTCTTCAATCTCTCGAATATAGTTTGTACGGAGTTGATTTTGTGAGCTCTGTGTTAGTTGCTACTGTAGTTGTGAATTAGATCTGTGTGGGTTGGCTTACAACATATTTAAGTTTCCAGTTTTCCTGTGTCAGTTCTGATGACTAATACATCCAGGAATGATAATTTGTTGTTTGGCTCCTTTTCCTCTGTGAATTTAGTCATCAGAGACGCTGTTGATCAGATCATAGGTGTTCTCCAGTTCGTTCCTTTCGCTGATGAAGAATTTGTCGTCTACATAACGAACCCACATTTTCAGCTTGATCACTGGTAAAACCTGACTCTAGTGGAGAAAATTTATAGCGCAGGTGGATAATTATGGTAAAGTTTCGTCCCCTGAACTGGATGGTTTGTTTGTGGAGCTACGGTAGTAAAGATAGAAATATAGAATGAGGCCAGAGGGTGACTTCAATCTAGTACAAAGTATAAATTCGTTAAAATATTCATTGTTGTAATTTGGTTGAAGCTAGTCACATAAATGCAATCTACACTTACTGATCTTAGATCTCTGGACTCGAAATCGGTCATATCGTTATTCATTCTTTATCTTTTTCCGAATTTCTTACATTGTGTCACGATGCCCGTTGTTAGTTTACGTTTCTTCCGTATAATGCTTAATTTATTTAGCCTAGAAGGCTAATCTAAAGAATTTCACTCATTTGTTTATTTTGGCACATGTGAAGCATGACAGCTTGATTCAATGCATACTCTAAATCATTTCAACCAAACTGACTACAATGATTAGTTTTGTTTATGCTTGAATTAGTATCGAAAATTCTTTCTTTTTTTTCATTTATCGCTTTGATTTCATTAAAGTATGATACAGTCGACATATGTTTAATGTCAGCTATAAATTATTATGAAGATTTATAATATGTTTGATAAACTACGAAAAATGTCTGACGTTTTCAAACTGACCATTAAATTTGAAATAGATTAAGTCGCAAAAGATAAAAACTCTTGCCGACTAACTGCATAACTGCATAGTTACTTTGGTTAGGTTCACCACTGAATAAAAAAAAACAAACTCAGACTATGTGATCATTAAATCGTAGTTCTTTTTTTCATCATGTTTAAAATTATAATTGCATGAATTTAATTTACTTACTATTATCTGTTCATTTTACACCCAACAGATACATGGTCCAGACGATACAACTAATTTTGATAAATATCCTCAACAAAATGAATTGCCACCTGATGAAACATCTGGTTGGGATATAGAATTTTAACATTCTCTCATTTCTTTTATTGTTAGTAGTCTATCTTTCTTCAACTAACTACCTACAACATTTTTTCTTCTTTGATTATTTTTTCATAAATTAATGTATGTATGTAATTGTTTGTATGTATAGATGTAATTGTAGATTTGTTCGATTAGAGCTTTGTGCATTTTCGATGATGATGATGATGAAGTGTGTTAATGGGTTTTATTGTATTCAACATCTACCCTATTTATATAAAATTAATCATTATGAATTAATCGCACATGAACAACAATACGATATATTTTTTATCCCCTTTACTGACCAACAACTCTGCATATTTTTGTTGACTAGTTGAAAAAAATAAAACTGGGAACTCTGTATTTGTTATAAATTATTAAAAATAAAATGATCTGACTTATTTTTTAAGACATTCATTTATTTGCTGATATTTTTTTCTGTTGTCCTTTTTCATATGCTTACAAATTTCGGATTTTGAAAAGATTACAATGAAAATTTACAAATGTTACATATATATATGAATTGTTTTTATTCAAAAATAGTACACTTTGTTTTATCACTCTCTATCTCGAAATAAGTGATATATATATATATATATATATATATATATATATATTATGAACGTTCATATTTCAAAAGAAGAGATCATGTTTCATTGTTCAATTTGATTTTATATTGCGGGTGTGAGAAGAAAAAAAGCACAATATTAATTTAATTATTGAATATTGACTAGAAAAATCAAATCTCCCTCTTTTGATTTTTTCATAAAAATTACATTTCACTGCTGTGTACATATACATTATTATTATTATTATTATTATTATTTATTATTATTTAATTATGATATGGTTATCGATTTATCAAAATTACTGATGAATGATTGAATTAAACAGATGAATAAATAAATATGTAATTGTGAATTTCTGCTGACCGCCCACATTGTTTATTTATCTACATTAAATTTAGCAATATTTCAACTTTTCACTTCGATTCAATGTTAATAATACTTATTAACATTGTAATCATATGGTATATCACGAATTTTTGTATCAAAGTGTTCTTCATTTAAAAAAAAAGAAATATACACACCTATCTCATTTTGATCCTGTCAAAAAGAAAAAACGTGTTTTCTAGTAAGTAGGATTTATCAACTAATTGGTCAAAATTATTCAATTCGTTTTGATCGTATCGATTTAATCAATAGAAATACTGCTGGCTTCTAATTTATTTTGAATTAACGGCATCAATGTATTATTTTCTTCTAGAAAAAAAAAATTACATTTTCATTTCATTCCTGGCTACGTTTTCTTAGTCTGTGTATGATGTATACATCAAACAATAATTATCTGTCTAAGAAAAAAAAAACAGAATATTTATTTCAAAGTATGATGTTGTTCAATGTTCAATAACAATATGTTACTTCACTTTATTTTTGTTAATATGAAGAAGATTCGATTTCTCTTATTTTAATGATCATGTTTATTTCTTTTCTTCATGTTGTTATTATTATTATTCAAGTTCATTTTCACATTTATTATAACATTTCCTTATAGATATATGTTTGTTTATACTAGATGCTTTTTGTTTTCAAACTATGCTCGAAACATAATCAATGCTGCTTATCCCAACTAAAAAAAAAACACTTAATAATTACACTAATCTTTCCCGTTTATTTTGTTAAATTTCTAGTATTAGTTAAAACAATTCACTAATTGTATGAGCTTTTTGCAAAAAGAAAAAATTGATTGGTTGAAAGAGAAAGTGAATGTTACTTTGAATCTGTATTTTGAGAATAACCTTTTTATTATAGCTGATAATTAATTAAAGGTCTAGTTCTTCGAATACGTATTGATTTATTATCGATTGTAATTCAGCGTATTGATTTTACTGTTTATGTTTTTTTTACAAAAGTGTTATCATCCGCTATGTAGCTATTCGAAATCCTACCGATTGACCAAATTCAAATATTCCAATACGACAGCAATAACTGATCCCAAATCTCCAATATATCAGAACACAACACCGTTAGATGAAGTTGTTTATGGGGTCCAGTACAGTAGGAATAATACGCTTTACAGATAATGCATATTTATACAGTTAGGTCGACTAGGAAACAACATTTGAGGTGTGTGACATTGATAGTTAGGGCGACCATAATATTTACCAGTAAGAATTGGCCAATAGAAATAATTCTCTTAGGATATTTGATGAATATCCTAACGAATAGACGATTAGATAAGCTAAAAAAATGTTAGCTTTAGAAAAGACGCTATACGTACATGCTACCTTACTTTCGATAAGTGTGACTAAAGAAAGGAGCATAAATTGGTTAGTAATGATGTCCATTATAGTTCGTTTATAACTTACTAACTAGTAAAGATATTAAAAAATGAATATTATTACTTGTCCATTCAATATATTTATCGAAATAATGTGGAATAATCGTGCGTATAAACAAACCGCGTTTGGATAGTTTGCTTAGAAAAAAATCTGAATATTAACCTTACCACAAGCTCAACTTAAGCGAAGTTTATGTGCATTAGGATGAAGGTTTCATAAAATAATGCTAGTCAGATTAGAATTTCCATAAATGGTATCTGTTATAATTCTCTCTTTATTATACAACCGATCTATTCTTAATGCTTAGTATTCTCGGACACCGACCCACTCAACAAGTTCCCAAATCAGAACACAGTTGAACAGGGAAAAGATTATGTTTCAAATAGCAAGGTTAAGTGGAAGTAAGAAGCCGGAGCAATGGCGAAATATGAACAACGTTAGTTTCTCTATAGTTTTTACATGAGAAGCTTCTAGAATATTCTCCAAGTATCGACTAGCGCTAATCGGATAAGAATTGGCTAATCAGCGTGCAGCTAACGCAATCATCTATGTTCCGCTAACAGTATCTATTCCGTTATATTCTTGATTAACCAGCAAGCCTATTGCAACACAAGGATTCTCACAATAACTCATATTGCGATCACCCTTGCCCTATACGGGAACGCACATGTTGTCTAGATTGGTCTGTAGACAAGTGGACGTCCAAAAAGGACGCGCACAAGCAGTAGCCCCCATTCAGGCACTGATGAATCGACAAGATCCACTACGCACAATCCCCGATCGGCATGGGCGGCAAGACTGGCTTTCCCAGCTAGACCTGGCACCTGGAACGGACTACCGAAACACCCAGTAGCCATTCCAACCGTCTGGCCTCCAACTGCCTCGCGTTGATACAATCGACCGGAGCCATCAGACCCCACATGAAGCTAAAGATCGAGTTTGTCCCACAATGTCAGCTGGAATGTACACCCTCCCATGGGGAATTCTGTTATATACTTCCTATAGCCTTAGTACTGTATTGTTTAAAATTAGAAAAAAAATTTTCCAGGTTCATCGTATAAAACTTTATGAAAATCTGTACGTACAGTAGATAAGTTGACATCCATGATTTGTACAACGAAATTTAAATTTCACTTTGTTTATCTTTTTTTACCACCTATACACAACTTGAACAAATCATAGGATTGTCTTTATTAATAAAAAATGATTTAGACTTCATATACTACATTTTAAGATAAAGATTTCATGTATATGATGTACATGAAATTTGTATACGAAATCTAGAATTATTTTTGGTGTTTTTTTTTAAAATTGTTTAATTAAAGAAAGTTAATTGAGTCTTATAAAAGGTTGATTACTTATCTTTTGATCACAATTCTGATGCAGCGCGAAGTGACAAGAATTCAAGTCTTCTTAATCAATACGGCTTTTTACGACTTCTGCTATTTGATTCTAACCAATAGTATTGAATATTTAGCTAAATCGCTAATAATAGGTGAATTATCTACAAATTGATTTTGTAGAATTTGATTTATGTCAAAAACTACCTAATATCATTCTAGTTTATCTTGTTAATAGTTTAAAAATGCATAATAAACTCTGAACTTATTCGATTATATGAAAGTATCATTTTTTTAACAACTAGACCTATTATCTATCCCACATACAGTAGTCGATACACACCATTATTTACAAACTAAAATAAAACAAATCCCCGTTTGTTTTAAATTAAATAATTATACACAAACTGGCCAACTAAACAATATTTGAATACTTTCACAACTTTAAATTAAATTAATTTTATTAATACAGTTAAGGTTGTTGTGAATGTTCAATTTGACAGTTGACATTAACCAACTAACATTAGTTAGAC